ATGACACACAAGCCTTTTAGCTGCTCTCCCTCTGGTCACACTGCATGCCATAAAGCTGAATTCCCATCCCTTGCCTCCCCTCTTCCATCTCATCCATCCTGCACGCCCTTGCCAGATTCAGTTTCTTATAACTTTGATTTCAGCACATCACCCTTCTATATACTAAATTATTTCCCACTGCCTACAGAATGTGGGCCAAACCCTTCTGCCTGACCTTCAAGATTTGCTCTCCCTGCATGCCTCCCCAGGTTTCCTAGCCTTACTCCTCTGCCCCTTAGGTCCAGCCCCCAATATACAGGGGCTTCTTCATTCTGGAGATGAGGTGACCCAAATATCACCTCTCCAAAGAAACGGGCTTTCCTAGTGTGTCTTCCTGGTGCACCAACTTTCTCCTTCAGCTGCTGAGGTTCCCTGCCCAGCTTGCCTGGAACAACAGGAACTCTCAGGGCGACCTACTTGCCACTCCCCTCTCAGGCTCCCAAACCTCCCTAGAGAGGAATGTATCTGAGATGGATGCCTTGCCTGCAGAGTAAGCCTACTGCTACATTAGTACTAACACAGCAAGGGTAAGACTGGAGACGGGAGACAGGCACCAACCTCAGCCCCATCCCAGTTCAGATGGAAAAACAAGAGAGCAGTTAACCTCAGGCAAACAGACATGATGAGACAGCCAAAGGAAGCCTGCAGAGGAGAAAATAGGCCAATTGAACAATGAGACCCCTGACTTTCTTATGTATCCACTCCCCATGTACAAACCATAAACTCTGTGAGAGGCCAGTTGAGGCAACTGAGGCTTGACAGGGGACCAGGATCAGTGTGCTTTGAGGAAGAAGCCTTGAATTCAGGGACAGGAGCTTTGTGCTTCTGTGTAAATTGGGCAAATATCTTTTTTGTTCTGGGCCTCAGTTTTCCCATCTAGAAACAGGAGCTTGGACCAGGGGTCCACTTGCCCCAGGTTAAGTGAGAATCTGGGGGAAGGGTAGTCCTGTGCCCATGTTTATAGTACCTTCTCAGTCAGGAGGCTTGGTGGGGGCATGTGATTTTGGTGGTTTAAGCTTCTCTGGGAGGCCTGGATCCCTGGCTTGTTGAGCCCAGTCTACTACTGCGAGACCAAGATGCACTGTGATCCAGCTTTACTTGTCATGCCTGTACCCCACAACACTACCCAACATATTACTCTCTCAAAATGCACCAGGCCTGTCCTGTGAATATTTTACATTTGTCCACAGAGGAGAGGTACAGGTGCCACAGCAGGTTCAGACTAGCCCGCTTCCCCCTGAGAAAAGCTGTAGCCCTAATAGGGCAGGCTGAGGAGTGCTGGCTGGCGAAGGGGCTTAGTATGTGCTTGGAAGTCACAGGGGGGAAACCTGCAGGAGATGAAAGCAATGAAATCTCTACAACAAGAAATGCAGATCAAAGGGTCACAAATGCCCCTGCAACACTATCACGCCTGCCTCTTACTCTACCAAGGTTCCTTGAGCCATTTTCACCTTTGCCCATATTATCCTCTAATCCCAAAAGGGGAGGTTCAGGGGAGCAATGCACCCTAATTCAGCTGGCACCTGCACCTCTGCAGTGGTCCTGGTTTCCCTCCCTGCCTTGCCATGGATGTACTTATACATGCATGGGTTTGAAAAATAAGACCAAGGAGAGGAGATGAAAGGCTCTGTGATTAATTCAGGGAACTGAAGTTAGAGAAATGGTTTAACACATATGAAACCGCCAATGGATTGGTAAGAAGAAGAGCACCCCCAACACACACACACACACACACACACACACACACACACACCCTACAGTTTAAATAGGAGGCTCAGATTAGCTCTGAGAACTTCCTGGCAGCAACACAGATAAGGTGATACAGGAAGACAATGAAATACCACCTCTGGGGGTTTTACTTTATCACCTATCTTATCTGCCTGGACAGGATTCCCAGCAGGGGAACTTGTGGAATAACACTGGGAATGCCCTCTGCTAGCCTCAAATAGCCTATCTTGTAAGTGAGGGGGCTGGAAGCCCCTTCTTCCTTTTTGGTTTTGTAAGCAAGCCAGTGACCTGCCAGGCTTGCTGCTATTCTTCTCCTTCCCTATTACCCTGGAGCAGCCAGCTGAGCAGGGCTGTTCCCTCCGCTACCACCCCCACACACATTTTCTAAGAGTGTAAATGTAATAGTTCTTAAGGAATTTTTCACACCTCCACTATGCTAGAAGAGAATCATTGGACTGGTAATATCCTCCATCTACTTCCCTCCCTTCTGAAAGTTTTAACCCCTTTGCCAGGCTGCAGACCAAGTTCAAGAAGCACAAGAGAGCCGTGTTAGGGGAGGAGGGGCTCCCAGATGGGGCCCCCAAGCTAACCCTTGAGAAATGGGTGAGGTGAGACAAGGGGTTGGTTCATGAGATGTGTTTTGAATGGAGGCCATTGGACACAGTGGGATACAGTGGAAACAGCCACTGCAGAGGAAGAAGTAGCCTATCCCCCTATTTCTACATGCTGTGTGACCTTAAGCAAGTCCCAGTTGGTTTCCAGGGCTCAGGATTCCCATATAAGTCCAAACTGGCACTCCATGAAGGCCTATACAGGCGGAAGGAAGGGGATCAGCAGAGGCCTGAGGGACACTTAGGCTCCACCATGTTGGTATGTAGGCTCCAGGCTCTCCTTCCCCCTCCACAACCCCCACAGGCAGAAGGGAGACTGATATGGTACAATTTCCCTCTAGAGATAGCCAACCTCCCAGTTCTATTTCCAGATCAAAAGGTGGCCTCTTGACACTGCAAGTTAGGGGGTTTGTGTTGACCTGCCCAATATATGTAAGGTGACCAGACGTTCCGCTTTTGGCGGGACAGTCCCAATTTTTAACAAGTTGCCCCGTGTCCTACAGTGTTTTTAAAAAGTCCAAAAGATTTAAAAGAATCTTTCCAAACAAGATTGGACGTGGGACAAATTGTTAAAAATCGGGACTGTCCCCCCAAAAGCGGGATGTCTGGTCATCTTAAACATATGGCATGTTTATAATCTCCATCTAAGACTTCACACTAAAACCCTTGCTAAAACCCCAATTTATTATGGCATATTTACACACACACACACACACACACCCCAAAACCTCCTAATTCCCCATTCTCTGATGGTCCTTTTCCCCATGATCAGATCCCCATTCCATACTCTGGCATCTGGGAAACCCCACCACTAAGCACCAAACATCTTAGAGTCATACAATTTCAACCAGAAAATACCCAGTCACCTCACTTAGCCTGCTTGCCAGCAACATCCCTCCTGTTCCTCATTTTGCTTATACCATTGCTTTTTGCCTTGCCAAACCTCTCTACTTTCTGGAAGCTCTCCGGGATGATCCCCCTGCATACAGAGATCTTCTATCTCACCATGTTTTGCCTCAGCTCAGGAGCCAGCATCCAGGAATATGCGTGGTCTGGGGTCTGGATAGTCCAGATCCTGTGCTTGCTATTAAAGAGTTATATCATGATTTTTGTTTTTATAGTTTCAACCCATCCCCCTTTTCTATCCCCATTAGGCATACACAACAAATACCCCAACCTTGAGTATCATTTCTCTAATCACTTTCATATGGATCAGGACAAGTACAAGTTGGAGTGGTAAAGGTCCTCTTGAAAGCTCTACAAAGAAAGCAGGTCCTTCTGGAACATTTCTTAACTGCTTTGCATTGCTAAGCTTTGATGGGGTTGTGGCAGAGTTCCGGGTTGCATTTACCCCTCTGAGGGGTTGTGAGAGAACTCAACACATCCATGTTATCAGAGACAAAGTAGAGGCAGAGAAACTTAATTACAGTTTGCCTACTATTATAATTTAGGCCCCAACATACTCAAGGGACTCAGGCAGCTTGGAAGAGAGCTCTGAGAAAGAAGTCATCATGAATTGCAAGGGACAGGCAGGAAAGGCATTGAGAAGGCCCCAGAGCTAAAGCCAGAGAGGAAAGAGAACTTGGACATGTAGGGTGAGAGAGTTTGGGGATGGGGAAGGGAGTTAAATAGATTGCTTATGTTAAATGGCTGTCGGCTGGAGGCAGGGCTGAGGGCTGGTCCAGCCCTCTGCTAAAGATGCCCAACTGCAAGTTAGGGGGTTTGTGTTGACACTGCTCAGGTGGGAGGAGATGAGAGTAGTATGGTATCTGCAGTAATTGCAGGTGTCACAAAAGTCCCCAGCTGGCCTTCCTCCCAAATAAGGGATTTCCTGGGTCTCATTGTCTCCTCTAAAATGGTTCTCCCTCCTCAGAGGTTGGTCAAAGGTTCATAAAGAGCCTGCTAAGCTCCTAGGTTACTGCTTCTCAGGAAGGCCTAGAGTCCATTGCCAGAGGCACACCACCTGCAGTGACTTGGCAGTGAAAGAATGGAATGAATGAAGGAAGGTGCACTGGGGGTGCGCTCTGCTGGAATCACCAGGTGTGGGGTGGGGATTCCAAAAGCTCAGTGAACCTCCACCTGCCTATACCCACACAGATACGGCAGGCAGCTGCAGAGGGAGGCTTTTTTGTGTGCTGGACAAGACTCACCTTAACCCTGCAGCCCAGGCCAAAAGGAGGCCAGCTCTGCGGGACTAGTACAGCTGCCAACTGGGGAGCCTGGACTGTGGCTGCATGGCGGGCATAGCCCCTCCCTCATGGCCAGGGAGCCTAGGCAAAGTCAGGCAGTTACCAATGTCAGAACTGTCCGCAGCAGACAATGACAGCGGCCTGGCGGGCTGGGTATTTTAAGTAACTGTGAAGTTGGAAGGTTTGGCTGCTTCTTTAGATCTCTCACAACACTTAGACAGTGTTTTCCCTACTACAATAATTGCTTGTTCGGCCTCTGACACAGAAACCCCCTCCCAGCATCGTGCTTATCATTATTTTTGAACAGGGGAGGCTGGAGAGAAAAAATGAGGCCAGTGCCTACCCCTCCCCCTCACAACTCCCCAGGCCCCAGGGGAGAAGAGGCTCGGCCAGGGAGGAGACAAAGGGGCCTTGCAGTTCTAACCCAGACTACCTTAAGCTGTAGCTGTATCCCGAGGTCCAGCAAGAGCCTGATTGTCAGTCTACTGGTCCGCCTGTCCCCAGGGGCGGGCGCCAGATGTGCCTGGAGGCCCAAGGGCAGGGGGAAAGCTGGTTGGGGTCACGAGGCCGAGCTTCTGAAGGGAAGTGGGCAGCTTACAGGCCAAAGTGAGGTCCCCCAGAGAGGAGGCAAACAGTGTAGATACCCAAATGGGACTTAGACCAGCGCGTCCGCTTGGTCCACGGAGGGAAGAGGGAGGAGATGCGCAGAGAAGGAAGGGGAGGGGCAGAAGCCGGGCTGCTGGAATGAGCGATTCCAGCGAATGTGCTGCAACAAAGCTGCAGAGCTCCGGGCCTACAAAAGCACCTTTGGGGGTGCTGGCTGGCGGCTACCCTCCAGGGACTTGCAAGGCAGCACGTGCAGGCCTCCTCCCCGCCTCCCAGAGTGCCCAGAGACAGGGCCAAGGCTAGCCCGCCCGCCTGCCCGCCCTCTTTCCCTACCCCCACCCCGCGCCTTGGTGGCCCACGTCCAAGGGACTTTGTTCTGGCCCTCACCGGACAGTCCTCAAGGCGGATTCCAAAGGGGAGCAGAGAGCGGCCTGGATGCCGACCGGCCCAGCCCTAGAGCTCCTCTCGGGGCGGCCAGACCTGAGCACGCGGGACTGCACCACACCGCAGGCTGGCGGAGCCTCCTGGCTACCCCCAACGCTTACCCAGCCGGGTTCGTTTTCCAACACGATTATTATCTGCTGCGCCGCCCGGCCCCGGCTGTATTCTCCGCTGGATGTATTCTCCGCTGCCGTGGCTGAGAGCGCAGCCACCGCAGCTTCTGCCGCCGCTCTGGCTCCGGTCACCTCCTGCACTGGCTCCCCTTCCCCAGACTCAGGGCAGCTTTCCATGCCCCCTCCCCCGCAACTCCACGGCCACAGGGCGGAGCGTCCGCGCCCTGATTGACAGGTACGTGGCCCAATGGCCAATGTGGGAAGGCGTGCCTTGACCCGCCCACTGTTTTCCTCCCTACCTTTCTCTTTAAATGCAAATCAACCTGAGCTTGGTGTTGGCCGAGGACTGGGAGGGTGCAGAACCCCTCGCTGGGACTCCTCGCTGCCGCCCCAAGCCAGGCGAGTGGCTGGGGACACCCAGAGCTCCTGGTGCCGGTTCAGCCCCCAAAGGGCTTGCTGGAGCCCTGGAGCTCAGTTTCGGTTTTGTATGAGTCTCATTTCTGCGGCCGCAGTGCAATCCTGCTGTGGTGCCCTGGCTGCCACCAGGCAATTTATTCCAAAGCAAGAGACAGGCCGAGAGAGGCGGGGTCAAAGTGGCTGGGGAGAGCCAGGGGGAACCGAAGAGCCCCTTGGAACCTCGCCAAGCGCAACCTTAAGGCGCAGAGAAGGACCCGCAGCCCAGGCTTCCAGGCCTCTGAGAGGAGGGACTCACCTGCCAGGAAAACCAATTGCAGTGCCTGCGCCCCAGCTTCATCCGCCTCTTCAGCACACCAGGGCCTTTAGGGACCATTCTAGGCCAACTTCCTCCCCGTTTACAAAGGGCCTGCTGCTGCCTAAAGTTAGGGAGGTGCGTTCCCAAGGTCACCCCAGTGCACCAGCGACAGGGCAGACTTGGAATTCGAAACTCCGGGACCCTGCTGTCTAGGGCTGCTTTCATTTTTCTTCTCTGGAGAGATCTGTTTTCACAGTTTGACCCTCACCTAAATTCCCCACCTTTCACAGAACTGGAGGGGAGTCCCAAGGTCTACAGAGGCCCCCCCTCAACGTTTTAATGGTAACCCAGGCTTTGTACAGTTTCCTGTCCCTGAAAAGTCTAGATATTGAGAACAAAACAAAAAAATCTTGTGTGAGCCCAGACAGGAGGTCTCAAGGCTGAGGACAGACAGAGGAGGCCTGTACTAGTCTTGCCAGCTGCAGTGTCTGGGCTGTGGCAGGGGGCCAGCCTGAGCTTAGGTCTCTAAGTAGTTTGAGGGCATTATGTGGCATTAGTGGCTGCCAGGGCCAGGTGAGCTGAGGCAACAAAGAATCCAGTCGTACTACTCGTTCAAGAATATCCAGAAAGCCCAGCCCTAAAACTCTGTGAATGTCTTGAAACAGAAGTTGGGGAGGATATGCAGGGGATTAGATGGCCTGCCATTTTAAAAAAAATATATTTTATTGATTTTTTACAGAGCGTAAGGGAGAGAGATAGAGAGTTAGAAACATCCTACACACCCCCAACCGGGGATGTGTCCGCAACCAAGGTACATGCCCTTGACCTGAATCGAACCAGGGACCCTTCAGTCCTCAGGCTGTTGCTCTATCCACTGAGCCAAACCGGTTTCGGCAGGCCTGCCATTTTTGCCTTGTAGGAGGAGTGTTCTCTGCTGCTCTATTGGGTCCTTTCAGCCTTGAAAAGATAAAGATCCAGCTGCTACACTGGGAAGAGGAAGACTGCCGTCTCTGCATGTGTGGTGCACAGGAACTGACATTGCTGCTAGAGCTGGGATCTGGCTCCAGCTCTGCCTTAGACTTGAAGTATCGGGTCTAGTAATAATTAATGTCGTTTTTTAAACATTCGTTTAAAATCTTGCTTGGCGTTGACTTGTATTGACATAACCTTCAAAACGTGGTATCTACAGAACGTGTGAAGTGCAATTAACAAGTTTTGCTTGAAAAAGTTTGTGTTTGGTTTGGTTTTTGTTGCAAAACTAGGGCTAAGAAGATGGCGAATGAAGAGCATATTCGGCACTGCATGCTTTACGAGTTCCAATTAGGAAGAAAAGCAAGTGAGGCTGCAAAAAACATCTGTAGTGCTCTTGGTCAAGATGCAGTTAGCGCCAGAAAATGCCAGCGTTGGTTTGAGAAATTTCGCGAGGGAAATTTTTCGTTAGATGACAAGAGTGGTCGAGGCCGTGTGTCCAAATTTGATCAAGAAGCTCTTCAAGCTCTTTTGGTGCAAAATCCTCAAATTACCCAACAAGAGCTTGCGACAACTTTAAATTGTTCACAGAAAACAATTTCCAATCAATTGCGTGCACTTGGCAAAGTCCAAAAGTTTGGAAAATGGGTTCCTCATGAGTTGACCGACAACAACCGCAATCAAAGAGTCACAATTTGCAGTTCGCTCCTCTCTCGTCAAAACCGTTTGCCGTTTTTAGAGCAAATTGTTACCGGAGATGAAAAATGGGTGCTGTATGTTAATTTGAAAAGGCGGCCTCAATGGTTGGACAAAAATGAGGCTCCGCAGCCCACGCCAAAACCTGACTTGCATGCGAAAATGTGATGTTGTGTGTTTGGTGGAATTTTAAAGGAATTCTTCATTATGAACTTTTACCATCTACCCAAACCATTACAAGTGCAGTGTATAGTGCCCAATTGGAAAGGTTAGCCCAATAAGAGAAAAAGAACCCGCGCTGATTAATCGGAAGGGCGTAATTCTTCACCACGATAACGCACGACCGCATACTGCAAGAATCACAGCTGAAAAACTGCGCCAGTTGGAATGGGAAGTTCTCCCTCAACCTGCATATTCTCCTGATATTGCCCCTTCCAATTACCATTTGTTTCGTTCTTTGCAAAACTTTCTTCTTGGAAAAAAATTTAATAATGAAGAATGCCTCAAAAATGCATTGACCGAATTTTTTGCATCAAAATCACAAGAATTTTACAACAGAGGGATTAAAATGCTTCCTGAGCGCTGGGCACAAGTAGTAGAAAACAACGGCAACTATATTGTTGATTAAATTTTGTTGTATTGTTTAAATAAATTCGATTTAAAAAAGTATTAGAAAACAACATTAATTATTACTAGACCTAATATGACATTGACCAGTCTATTTTCTTCTCTGTGCCAGTCTATCACTCCATCTCCTCAAGAAGAGGGTGAGATTTGTCAAGCTCCTTGATCTCTTCCAGCTCTGACAATTCAACTCAATTATTTCTATAATATTCTGTAATGTTCTATGACAGTGGTCGGCAAACTGTGGCTCTCGAGCCACATGCGGCTCTCGAGCCGTGGTTTGCCGCTCTGTTGATTAATGAGTTTGCCAACCACTGGGATAAGGGCTCAATCACAAGAAACAACAACAGCCTGTAATTATTGGAATTGAGAGTCTAGGTCAGTAGTTGGCAAACTCATTAATCAACAGAGCGGCAAACCACGGCTCACGAGCCGCATGTGGCTCGAGAGCCGCAGTTTGCCGACCACTGTTCTATGACCTTCATGACATTCTTTACATCTCCAACAAAAAATAAGCAATTTGAACATCAAACCTTCTAGTCCAAAGTCTAAATAAATGACAGGGAGGAGGGAGCTGCCACTGGATGGCTCACTGTGGGATTTTTTTGGCAAGTACCTTCTCCTTCCTAGCTTGAGTTTCCCCATTGATTGGCTTGTCTATATTATTTCCCTGGAGCTGTGGTTTCCTGCTTTGAAGAGTACTGATTCTCAATTGTTGAACTTTATTTAGAGGTGTCTTTTTTCCAGTGCCTCCTTTATAGGCTTCCTCACTGCCTTGTGCCTCTGGTTGCTTTCCACCTGTTCACAATTCGCCCAGAACCTTGATTCATGAAATAGGCCAAAGATTACAATTTGGAAAAGACAGTTTCCAAATCTTAAGCCCAGGAAAACAGGTCCAGGATAGTGTCAGGGAGAGAGGTGTGCTAGTCAAGTGGTGGGCTTGAAATAATCCTGATGTGGGGGGGGGGGGCACTGTTGCACTGCTCTTGTCACAGGGCTAGTCCTCTATGTCCTCTGCTCAGCTGCCAAACATTCTGCCACACCAGTAAGCTTTGGAACTGACAGATATTAAACATTGGGTTGGGCCTAAAAGAAATAATAGGCTTCAGGGAAATGAGAGTAGCCTTTGACATGTTAAAGAGGTCTCCCAACTGGTCCTGATATTTCTAAGTCTTGGGAGAAGATTATGTATGTACACATTGCTGTGGAATTGGCACAAAAGAAGAAACAGTTGAGCACTCGGAAGTATCAGAAAAGAGATTTTTAATCAAAGCAGTGCTGCTGGCTCAGGGAACTCAAGATCTAAAGCCTGAATGGCTAATACAATAAGATTGCTCCTTATATATTCCTGAGTTTCTTTGTTTCCTAATTACTAGGCTTCTGTGATGGGTTTTCACAGCTCCTTCTGAGTCAGTTAGAATGGAGAATTTATAATAGATTGTATCTAAATGCCTAACCTGGATGGCACCAGTGACCTCCCTCTAGCTAAGCTGTTAATATCCTTGGTTTATGGCCCTTGTAAATTGGGAGTATTTAGGTAAATAGGTTTTGCAAGACCAGACAATTAAGGAAGGGGCAGTGACTTGATTATAGGCTAACAAGAATGTGCAGTAGGATATTGATTAACTAGGTAGGGTCAGGCTGCTAGCCCCTTACATTCTTTCACAACATAAAGAGGGACAGGATGTGGGAGGGAGTGGCACAGCACCTTGTTTGTATCGTCCACTCCTCTCCAGGGACAATATAAGGTAAAACCAATTGTGGGCATAAACTTGTACCTCTAAATACCTTCTTGAAGAGGGAGTTCTATGGGCCCCCATTCCACATGCTGACTGTCAAATGATCAACTTCTTTGATCACTGCTGGTGGGGAACAAGAATACTTTTTTAAGTTTTTTTTCACCTGCAAAATGGAGATAATCCCTCTGCTGCCCAGCATCTTCTGACTGCTCTAAAAAGCCCTTGAGAACAGACATGCAGGCTTTCTGGAGGCAACTTCATAAACTCAAGTAGACAGACTGATCCACATGACTACAATTCTCATTTCTTTACCAAAGATTCTATGGGCACCTCCTCTTTGCCAAGCCTGATGATAGGCATTGGGAAGAGGGGATACAGTGGTAGCATCCCAGGAGAAAGGAGGCTCTGAGGATAGACTTGTGAAATTAACTGAAAACCAGACTAGAGGTCTGACAAAAGTGATCTAGAGTATTGTGGATTA